GTGGTACATATATACAACGGAATATTACTCAGCCATAAAAAGGAACGAAATTGGGTCATTTGTTGAGACGTGAATGGATCTAGAGACTGTCATACAGAGTGAAGTAAGTCAGAAAGAGAAAAACAAATATCGTATATTAACGCATATATATGTGGAACTTAGAAAAATGGTACAGATGAACTGGTTTTCAGGGCAGAAATTGAGACACAGATATAGAGAACAAACGTATGGACACCAAGGGGGGAAGGCGGTGGGGTGGTGGGTATGGTGGTGTGATGAACTGGGAGATTGGGATTGACATGTATACACTGATGTGTATAAAATGGAAGACTAATAAGAACCTGCTGTATAAAAAAATTAAATAAAATTCAAAAAAGAAAAAAGAGCAACAGTATAACATGGGAAGTCTATTCAACACTCTGTAATAACCTAAATGGGAAGAGGATCTGTAGATGAATAGGTATGTATATGTACAAATGAATCAGATTGTATATTCCTAGAACAAGCAATATTGTAATCAAATTACTCTGATAAAAAATTAAAAATAAAAAAAGCGAAAAATAAGTCATGAGACTTAAAAAAAAAAAAAAAAGAAAGAAAGAATTGCAGGTGTATTAGTCAGGGTTCTCCAGAGAAACCGAACCAATAAGATTTGTGTGTGGATAGAGACAGAGATAGATAGATAGAGAGAGAGAGAGAGAGAGAGAGAGAACAAAAAAAAAATTTTGTTCTATGTGAATGTAGTGCCCATTAAAAAATAAAATTTAAAATAAAATTCAAATTCAGGGTTAAACCACATTTGTCATTGTTTTCCAGCTATTCCTTCCTTCAAATGCACACAGCCACCAGATTTAATCTTCATAAAATTTCACTTTTAACATGTCACATGCTTGAGAAACTACAGCAGTTCCCTGTTACCTCCACACTCGCTCAGTGTTCTTGGCCTGATCATCAAGGCTCTCAACATTCTGGCCCAGGGCTCATCTTCAACACTAGTCTTAAAGGCTTTTCAACACATTCTGCTGTAAAGTTGTTTTCCTCACCTTTACCTGAACATGCTATGGACATTTTCATCTCTCTTCGACAGCTTTTGCATTTTGCCCCTTCCTCCTTTTTTCCATGTAATTTGTGAATGCGTCTATGAATTTCTTTTAAATTTTCCCTCAAAACCACACAATTTAGCATTTGATTATGTAATGTGCTAAAGCTTAATTTGAGTTAATCTTGTGTTCTCAACGAAATTAATTTTCTGGTATGTGAGGTGTGGTGATTAAAGCATAGTCTTATTCAAGGAATAAGGAGCAGGGTTCAGCATTGTTTCCATTGCACTGTGATTCCTGTAAGCAAGGGATCACTCAGAGGAGACAACAATTGGACCTGCCAGTGGCCAAGACCCCTGTGAGAGGGGAAGCTCTGCGATGGCAGGATTCATTTCGTTCTTCTTTGTTCAACCCACTGCACAGTGTTAGCTGCTTCAAAGGGTGAATAAATTGGCTTATTACATGCAGTAGAGCATGCAACAAACCAAACCAAACCAACTGAAGAACAAATTCTTGAATAGCGCCCTCTGAATTGTCATCTCTACTAAGTCAGTAAATAGCTATGTGATGTTTGGTGTTTTGTAGTTTTTATTGACTTATTTTTTTTTATCTTTATTGGGTTATAATTGCTTTACAGTGTTGTTAGTTTCTGCTGTACAACAAAGTGAATCAGCTATATGTATACATATATCCCCATATCTCCTCCCTCTTGCGTCTCCCTCCCACCCTCCCTATCCCACCCCTCTAGGGGGTCACAAAGCATCAAGCTGATCTCCCTGTGCTATGCAGCAGCTTCCCACTAGCCGTCCATTTTACATTTGGTAGTGTATACATGAACTGACTTGTTTTTTTTTTTGCTTTTTTCTTATTACTCGAATATTATATGTTTATCTTAGCAAATGTAGATGAGCAAAAAGAATGAAATATAAATATAAAAATAGGTGACCCTGTTACCTAGTGACAATTGGTCTATTTTGGTGTATATGCTTTTGCATATTTTATAAATATACATACCATATACAGATGGTCCCTGACTTACAATGGTTCAGTTTAGGATTTTTCAAGTTAACAACGGTGTAAAAGAGATACGCGTACTTTGAACTTTGAATTTGGATCTTTTCCCAGGCTAGCGACATGTGGTATGATACTCAATAAGTATTTAATAAGTTACATGAAATATTCAACACTTTATTATAAAATAGGCTTCTGTTAGGTGATTTTTCCCAACTGTAGGCTAATGTAAGTGTTTTGAGCACATTTAAGGTAGGCTAGGCTAAGTTATGGTGTTCAGCAATTTAGGTGGGTTAAAAGCATTTTTGACTTAGGATGGGTTTATCGTGTTGTAACCCCACAGTAAGGGGTCAAGGAAGATCTGTATATTTACAAAACAGGAATCATACCATACTTCTAAAACTTAACTTTTATATTTTTTTCCTTTTTAAATTATACCCAATAATGTGCATAAGTCTCAATGCTCAGTGAATGTTTACAATAATGCATATTGTTTGTAACCTTTTTATTCATCTGACAATGTGTGAACGTTTCCCAGGCATTAAATATTTTTCTATATCATTTAAAATGACTACATGGTGTACTACTGTGGATCATTATTTAAATGATTGTTGGACATTTAATTTTCCTAAAAAATTTTCATTATTGTAACTGTGTTTTGGTAAAGATAACCAGCTGTATCTTTGTACACATTCTTGATTATAATCTTTGCCTAAATTCCTAGGTATGGAATTGCCTAGACAATATTATGTAAAATTCTGACTTTTGAAAGCCAATTTCCATTTCAGAAAGGATGTACCAGTTTCTTCTGCTGCCAGTAGATTTTTCTTTTAAATATTCATTTATTTATTTGTCTGTGCCTGTTCTTAGTTGCAGCACGTGTGATCTTCGTTTTGGCATGCGGGATCTTAGTTGAGGAATGTGGGATCTAGCTCCCTGATCAGGGATCAGACCCAGGCTCCCTGCATTGGGAGTGCAGAGACTTAGTCACTGATCCACCAGGGAAGTCCCCTGTTGCCAGCAGATGTTGAATGTGTCTAGGACTCTTTACTAACTTTAATACGCAGAAGGTGAGAACAATATTGGTCTAGGAAAAGAGCCTTCCATTGCATTTAATAAAACATGAGTGGCTGCTTTACCAAAATTCCTTTCTTAATCATCGTTTCTCTTTGTTCTTTAGAACAACATCAAAGCATAGTCCTGCCTGTTCTCAGGATAGAGAGTAATGGCAGCAAACTTTTTTTTCTGGGCAAGGTTGTCTAGTGTTCGAGGGATATAACTTTTCTTTTTGATTGTGGTAAAGTATATATAACATAAAATTTACCATTTTAAGCGTACAGTTCAATGGCATTAAGAACATTCACACTGTTGTGCAACCATCATGCCCATCCAGCTCCAGGACTTTTTTCATCTTCCCAAACTGAAACTCCATACCCATTAAACAGTAACTCCCCATTTGTCCCTCCCCCCAGCCTCCTGGTAACCTCTCTTTTTCTTTCTGTCTCTATGAATTTGACTACTCTATGTATCTCATATAAGTGAAACCATACAGAATTTGTCTTTTGTGATTGGTTTATTTCACTTAGCATGTCTTCAAGGTTCATCCATGTAGCATGTGTCAGAATTTCCTTCCCTTTTAAGGCTGAATAATATCCCATTGTATGTATATACCACATTTTGTTTATTCTTCTGTTAATGGACACTTGGGTTGCTTCTACGTCTTGGCTATCGTGAATACTGATGCTATGATCATGGGTGTACAAATATCTGTTTGAGTTCCTTTTTTTAATTCTTTTGGGTATATCAGAAGTGGAATTGCTGGATCATATGGTAATTCTATGTTTAATTTGTTGAGGAATCACCACTGTTTTTCACAGCTGTAACTTCATATCCTTTTAAGGCCATTTGTTAGTTATTCTGGTCAGGATTTTGTGATGCCCAAATGGGCCTCCAAATACCTCAAGGGTTGTGAAATTTCCAAAACAAAATTTGTACTTCGTTTTAAAATTCCACACCAAACTTTCAGCAAGAAATGATATATAATGAAGGATTAGTAAAAATGGGACTTCAGTGATTTCTCTTTAGAAATAAACCTTAAAAAATGTATATTGGTGAGCTCAATGAAAAAGTATTTCTTTAAGGCAATAGTTTATGGAGGCATTTAAAGGGTTAAGGCAGTTAAAATGTATCCCTGACCACTCCCTTTCTTCTCTAAATCCTGCATTTCTTAGGGCCACAGTGAGCTGAAATACAGGCACCCTGGACCCACCCTAGGCCAGACACACTCCTGAGTGTGGAGAGAGCCAGCCCACGAGAAATGGCACAGTGATCAGACCCCAGTCATCATACAGTTCTCCTTCTCACTGGCATATTTTATTTCCTTTGTGACAAAAATCACTATTTTAAATAATCCTCTTTGCTTGCATGTGTCTTGTCTGCCTCCCTCTGTCAGAATGTAAGCTCCCTAAAAACAGAGACTTGTTTACCACACCTTTTTCTACAATTGTGCTGAACATAAAATAGGTCCTCAATAAATACTTATTGAATGAACAGATTGTCAAATGAATACAAATTTGCTTTCTTAGTCTATTTCTTTCTACTCTTAAACTATTTTAAAACTTATGAAATACTGTAAACACTCAGAAAAGCGCCTACTACTCATATTTAACAAATCCTAAGATTTTACCATAATGCTTCAATTTTTTTTCTATCCCTTAAAAAAAATGGAAAAAGATAAAAATATATAGGAGATGAAGAGATGGCCAATTTGGGGAGTGTGTAAAAATGGAGTCTTTGTCGACTCATGAGAGGAATGGTTCATCTACGTCGCTTACATAAATTCAAACTACAGATCCCAGGCAGCACTGCAACGGTTCTGCTCGTGGGCTATTCTTTTCTCTTGTATAAACAGCCAATGAAAGGTAGAGTTTACAAAGGTCTAGGATGACATCTGGTGTGTTGACTGTGGGCAGACTTAAATCTAGTTATTGTCGTTTGGAACGCGCAGCTGTAAACCAGACCTCATAGGGCTTTTCCTGTTAATTCGCAGTTCATTGTGCCTCTTGTTTCAGAGGGAAGAAAAGCTGATTTAGTAATCTAAATGGACGCGATACTGAATTACAGGTTGGAAGATAGTGAAGATTACTACACGTTACTGGGATGTGATGAACTGTCTTCGGTAAGGCAGTGAATAATGCCGTTCTTTTTCACAACAGTATTTCAAGTTTTTATTTAAGGTTTTAATTTGGAACTTACGTTGCCTAAAAATCTAATCTTGTATTATTTTAAAGCACTTTTGGCTCAGAGAAAGTTAAGGACTTAAATATGTGCTGGGTCTTTACTTGAATAATGTCCTTTTTCAGTTTTATGGAAGCTTCTGATTGAATATGTGTATTCTGTCACATGGCCATAGACTCTATTTCAAATATACTAAAAATACATATTTGAAATTTAATTGTAATTGCTATTGGCAGTGTTTCATAGTATACATAAGCTATTTATTATGGTAAGTTACACTGTAATTGAGATGAGATGTAATTTTCTAGCAATTAGTGATTTTAAAATGTTTTATTAAAATATGTACTTTTATGTGAGTAGTTAAATTATATAAACCAAGAAATATCGTTTTATGTTAATATTTCAAATTGTGTGAGAGGAATTACTTCTTTAAAGTCTGGCTTCTGAAACAAAATGTGTGAAAACTCTATAATTGTTCACTTGATCTATAATGGAACAATGTTTTTAAAGGTCCCCGTAGATAATTATAAAGGTTGTAAAAGTTTTTTAAATTATGGAAAGCTCATTTATAATTCTACCTCCCAAGGGTAACACTATTAATGTCTGATATATTAATCACCAGTCTTTTTCCTATATATATATTTTTGAAGACAAGTTCGCTTTTTATCTGTTAACATTATAACAAGGATTTCTCCAGGCTACTAAAGATTCTTCATATATATGTTAATGATTGTATATTTCATTTTACTATTGTACCACAATTGGTTATTCTCTTATTGTTAAACATTTCATTTATTTACAGTTTTTTAATATTTTAAATATTGAGATGAATATGAAATATATTTCAATTATATTATTAAATATGTTCATATTATTTTATATTTATATAACAAGTATTAAAATATTTATTTTATTTTATTACTAAAATATAGCCATTAATATTAAAATATTTTAAAGCAAATTATTTTTCTATTCATCTTTGTTTCATAAGGCTGGAGTTAAGTAATAAAATGTACTTCATTTTGTTTGGAGAATAGAATAATATTGGACACAAGGGATTATCTCTAATTTCGTCACCCTGAGGAAGTTATCTTAGGTTCCTTGTAGTTAAACACACTTAGAGCAACTGAGAAAGCTTATTATGTGTTATTCATACTTTGGATTATACTCTTGCCAGATAATTTTTGAAGGAACTATCTGAATCAAAGGAACATAATTTAATTTGAAAAGTTTCACGATTTGGATTTATAAAAAATATTGTCATGCTAGGTTATAAAGTAAAGGTTGTAATAGCCCCTTAATAAATCTCTTGACCCTTTAGTCAGTCTTTTGTAGTTATGTTATTGTCTTTTCAATCTTTCCACAAAGAAAGATTAGTCTTGAATAGACTATGGTGTATACCGTAGCATATATTAAAAGGAGAATAAAAGCATTGTCTTGACATTCCTTCTTCTGGATGTATTTTACTAATTCTGTCAATGGCATAGCATGTGTAGGTAACAGTGATTTATTTAAAATGCAATGACCTGTCACAATTTTGTCGATTCTTTTTATATATATCTTCCCCCGTGCCCCACCTTTTTTTCTGTTTGTTTTGGCCACACCGCTCGGCTTGCGGGATCTTAGTTCCCTGACCAGCGATCAAACCCGTGCCCCCTGCAGTGGAAGGGCGGAGTCCTGACCACTGGACTTCCAGGGAATTCCCCTCTCCCCTCTTTTTATATGTATCCTTCTCACTGAAAAATATTTTAATGCCTTTTTTTGAGTATTACTATGACATTTCCTTTACTTAAGTTGTGTTGCATGGATTTTCTTTACTTCAAATATTCCTTGATCTGATGCTCTAAAAAAACTAACCAGAACTGTTCCTATCCAAGAGCAATTTAGCAGTTATAATTTCAAAGCAGCTTGATATTTTGATTCCACTTACAACAATTGAGTTAGATACACACATAATTCTTTGCTTTAGTATACAGTTCTTACACTTTAAAGCCTGTGTTGGAAATTAATTAAATGACATATATGAGGCCATGGGAGGATTTCCATGCTGCTGAGTAGGAAACAAATACCCCCTGTTCAAAAACATTTACTGAAATTTGAGCCCAAATCAGTTAGCTTTTTCTCCCTAAATCAGATTTTACATAGACGCATGCTATGAATCTTTTGAAGTCCTTATTGATGCATATACCACACACTAGTGGTGTAAGGCAGCCTCTTGGGTGTGGATCTTAATTAATTTTTTAATATCTGGTCAACATTTCAGTGGTAATAAGACTTTCTCATTTCAAGATTTCATGGACTTGAAAACTGAGCATAAACTCAATAAATAGAAACACCTATTTTTTTTCTAGTTCTCTTTCTTATTGACTTCAGACCACTTGGGTTTAAATCTTAACCATTTATTGGCTATGTGACCTTGGGAAAATTATTTCACTTTTCTATGGCTGGGTTTCCTAATCTGCAAATGGGGATAATAATAGTACTCACCTCATGGAGGTGTTGTTGGGATTAAATGAGACATGATACATAATGTGCTTAGAATGGTGCCTGGCATATAGTAAGTTGTCGTGGTTGAGGGAGTTGTTTTGGCCTCACAGTAACACCGTACACTTGGAACTTCATAAATTCATTCTATTCTATTTTTTTAAAATCAACTAATTAATTTATTTTTGGCTGCGTTGGGTCTTCGTTGCTGCGCATGGGCTCTCTCTAGTTGCTGCAGGAGGGGGCTACTCTTCCTTGTGGTGCACGAGCTTCTCATTGCAGTGGCTTCTCTTGTTGCAGAGCACGGGCTCTAGGTGTGCAGGCTTCAGTAGTGGTAGCTCGCAGGCTCTAGAGCACAGGCTCAGTAGTTGTGGTGCACGGGCTTAGTTGCTCCGCAGCATGTGGGATCTTCCAGGGCTGGAACCTGTGTCCCCTGCATTGGCAGGCGGATTCTTAACCACTGCACCACCAGGGAAGTCCCCATTCTATTCTATAATTCGCATTATTTTTTAAATATTTTATTTTGAAATGATTTTTAATAGAAGTTTTTGAAGAGCAATTTTAGGCTCATAGCAAAATGGAGGGCAAGATACAGAGATTTCCCATATACCTGCCCCCTCCACTGATGCATAGCTTCTCCCATTATCCACATTCCCACCAGAGTTACAACTGATGAACCTACATTGACACATCATCATCACCCAAAGTCTATAGTTTACATTATGGTTCACTCTTGGGTTTGTACTTTCTGTGGGTTTGGACAACTGTATAATGACATTTATCCACCTTATCATAGTGTATCATAGAGAGTAGTTTCTCTGCTCCAAAAATCCTCTGTGCTCCATCTATATTGGAATAATTTTTGGCTTACAGAAAATTTGCAAACATAATAGAGTTCTTGTATACACTTCACCCAGCTTCCTTAATGTTAACATCATATTTAATGGTAGTACCATTATCAAAATCAGAAAATTAACATTGGTACAATAGTATTAACTCAACCAGTGGTCATCAAGCATTTTTTGTAAAGGACCAGATAGACAGGGTCAGCACTAGGGTGAGGCAAGCAGAGTGCTTATGATGCAAAATTTAAGGAGGCACTAACTCTCAGGGTTTCTGCAAGTGCAGAGACCTGAGAGAGAGTGAGTACTTCCTTAAACCCAGGTGTCCTGCTTGTCTTTTTTTTTTTTTTGCGTGTGTGGCAAGCAGGATCTTTGTTCCCTGACCAGGGATCGAACCCATGTCCCCTGCATTGGGAACGCAGAGTCTTAACTGCTGGACCGCCACGGAAGTCCCTGTGTGTGTCCTCTTGGTGCTGACCCTGAGATAGCAAATATTTTAGATTTTGCAGGATTTATGGTCTCTGCCACAACCACTCAATTCGGCCATTGTGAGAAAGTAGCTATAGATAACATGTAAATGAATGACCATGGCTGTCTTCCAATAAAACTTTATTTTAAAAACAGGTGGGAGCTTCCCTGGTGGCGCAGTGGTTGAGAGTCCACCTGCCGATGCAGGGGACACGGGTTCGTGCCCCAGTCTGGGAACATCCTACATGCCACGGAGCCGCTAGGCCCGTGAGCCATGGCCGCTGAGCCTGCGCGTCCGGAGCCTGTGCTCCGCAACGGGAGAGGCCACAACAGTGAGAGGTCCGCGTACAGCAAAAACAAAAAAACAAAAACAAAACAAAACCCCAAAAAAACAACAAAGAAAAAACAACATGTGGTAGGCCAGACGTGGGCTGTGGGCCAGAGTTAGTCAACCCCTGACCTAAAGTATAGGGCTCCTTCCAATTTCATCAATTTTTCTACTAATGCCCTTTTTCTCTTCCAAGATCCAAGCCAGGATCCTTTATTGTACTTAGTTGTCTGGTTCCCTTATTTTCCTCCAAAATGACAATTTTTCAAATCTTCCTTGTCTTTCAAGAGCTGGACACTTTGAAGAGTAGTGGTGAGTTGTTTTGTAGAATGTCCCTCAATTTTGGTTTGCTTGATCTTTTCCCATGATTAGAGTGAGTTTATGTGTTTTTGGAAAGAACACCACAGAAGTGATGGTGTGCCTTTCCCAGTGCATCATTTCAGGGGTACCTGATGTAATATGTCTTATTAACTTTGATCATTTGGTTAAGATGTGTCTGTCAGCTTTCTTCTGCCAGGTTTTTGCAGTGTAGGGTTACTATTTTCCCTTTTGTAGTTAACAAATATATTGGTGACAGTTCTTTGAGACCACAGTGTTTCTCCTCAAACGTTCACCCACTGATTTTAGCATCCTTTAGGGAATCTTGCCTATAAGAGTTACTGTTATGGTGTTTGCCTAATGGTGACTTTCTATTTTCCTCATCCATTTACATTTATTACTTGGAATTCTTCTGTAAAGAAAAGCTACCCCTTCTCCCACATTTACTTACTTATTCAACTATTTTTGTCACTGTGGATTAATAGATAGTTACTGTATTTT